ATATTAATTAAATTAAATCAAATAATTAATTAAAATTAATCTAGTTTCGAATCTGTGAAATCCGAATGACTTCAATAAAAAAATATTTTTTATTTTGCAAAAAAATTTCAAGTGTTCGAAAATTAAAGTTGACTAGAAACGATCACCCAAATTCGAGACAAGTAGTTTCATATTTGTGAAATCTGAATTATTGAATAAAATATTATTTTAAATTTCAAAAAAAATTGAAGTGTCTCAAAATGGTATCTTTCGGATTTGCCAAATCCGAGATATACCAGAAACTTGAAAAAAAATAATGAACTGGTTTTCACCAGTCCTCACCCTGTTTAAACAGCACCAACAACCAATTCATATCAAACTAATTCAACAACAAAACGATAACATTTTCATAACAAAATAATGCAAAATTCTCAACTTACAATCCAAATCATTCAAAAACCCTAAAAAAGACTAATCAACAATCATTTTTTTCCCTTTTCCTCTCCAAGGAATAGTGGTAGAAGTAAAGTTAAGCGGCGGGTTGCGCGTCCTGTCGGATTTGCGAACCTCTCGTTCCTCCGGCTCTAGACGGATTGTAAGAATTGGCTCTACGTTTAGGACTTGCGATTCTTCTCTGAGAGTAATGGTGAGAGGTACCTCTTCATGTGGGGTGTAAGATCCTCTCAAAAAACCAACATCGTCCTCTCTTCTCACATTGTATCCTCCCATTTCCTCCCCTCCTCTAACATTCTCTCCTCCTGGGTTCTCTTGCTCGTGTTGGCCCGAACCTTCAGTGTGATAATGCGTCATCGCTTTCTTCCTCCTCCAATTTTCTCTTTTGGCCACGACTTCATTGTTTCACCCCGCGGACCTTGTGAAGGGCGACGAGGTTCATAATTCAAAGGGATTTGGGAATCTTCAATTTCCATCTCATCATCATTTTCGAGAGTTAAAGCAATGTGGGTTCCATCTCATCGGAATGATATGGCCCTCAATATGGACATTGTTCAGCACTTCACCCTGGAAATCAAATGATGCGTTAACTAAAGGAGTATAATTCAAAATTTATATGAATAGAGTAAAATGCACTTCCATACATAGATTAATTGCAAATAAACACTTACATAGACTTTTACCCGGCTCGAGAAAGACTCATATCCGGCTGATGAGTAGTGGTTCATCGCCAATAACAATTCGGCTCGGTAAAATTTCACGGTTTTGTGAAATGTAGCATCGATCATAGCTCTAATGGACAAAAACCGAATCCCTTTTAGGGCATTGTTGTAACTCTCGGAAATGTTGGTAGTTGTGACGCCCCAACGACGACGTCCGGCTTTCAAACGAGTCCAGTTACACCCTCCCCTATGTCACGAAGATACTCCCATGTTTCAGGTTTGATTTCGGAGAGCTCTAGCCTCAATCGCTTGAATTTTTCCAAATTAAGCGTCTTTCCCATATTTTGGCATAACTGTTTCACTCTTGCATTCCTATATTTCGACACTAGATTTCTTCGAACGTGCCGGAGGCAATACATGTGGGCCCCATCATATAAATTACTCTATTCTGGTATTTCTGACATTGCCCTCAAAAGCCTAGCGTTCTGGTCGAAAATCACACTAATTTTGGTGTCACCCACAACATGATACCTCAAGTGTTTCATGAAAAATGCCCAACTTCAGTGGTCTGTTCATCAACCACGGCGAATGCAACCGATAAAATGTGTTTGTTTGCTGTATACACCACAGCAACTAGCAACTTACTCTTGTATCCCCCACGTAGGTGTGTTCCATCAATAGCAATCACCGGTGGACATTCAAGGAAAGTCGCAACCACTGGTGAAAATGAGCAAAACACGTATTTAAAAGTCCTACTTCCCATATTCCAACCTTCTTGTCCCTCCTTTCATTCTCATTCCACTACAGTTTTGGGATTAGTATTCTTAAGTGATTTAATATACCTACACATCAATTTTGCCCGAGTTAATATATGTCAATACTAGTAAAAACTATAAAAAAAATTAATTGACATTTATCAAAATTAAATTTTACCTATCAAGATCTTCAAAATTGGAGGACCAATCGCCATAAACCGCCTCTATGGCTTTCCTCCTCCCATTCCACACCCTTTTGTAGGGGACATCAACTTTTACCAACTACTTCACATCTTTTTACACCAATTTTACCGTATAATCCACCTTGTTCGCAACCTTTCTCATGATTAGTCTAGCAATAAACGCCGAGTCCGCACAACGGTTGTCATTATTGTTAACCACCCTCATGCAATTGTTTGCGGATTGCCATTTCACTATTTGATGCAAGCCATACTTTCCTAGTGACACGTGGATCCTCCATTTGCATATAAGTTCGCCATCTTGTGGGGAGGGGGGTGGAGGCGGGAGAATCCAATGTTCTACATCGAACTGCCCACGTCTTACTGTTAACTTGAAACAAACTTTAATGCACATCTCTTTGGGAGTCTCGTCCCACATTTTTATATCAAGATTATCTTTGTAAACACGCGAGGCATGGCATTCATCCATTTCCTTATACACATGGCGCTGGAGAAATAGATTTAGTTCCCTTTCTTTTTTCACCAATTCTTCATCATCACTTTCTTAATCATCACTAGGATCTCGTGCTTCCGAGCTTTCGCTTGGAGCTGTGTAGTCGAAATCATCATCATCCATGTGATCATCTTTGTGCAAATAAACTTCCACCGTCTTCTTCATGAACCCGTGAAGTACTTGCTTGTAGTTGCCTTGGACCATCTTGTTCACCCTCGTCCATGTGATCATCTTGTGCAAAGAAAGATCCACCATATTGATTGTTTCCATCTTCTTGGTTAGTGATATCCTCCGTCTCTATGTACAAATCCAGACTTGTTATTGGCTCGAGGTGATAGATGATCCCAACATGTGAATCATTCTTTATCTTCATGGCGCGCCTTACATCGTGAGTCACAAATATTAACGAAATGTGGAGTATCTATCTATTTCAAGATTCCAACCGAACGTCACACAAATCAAACAAAGCAACTCATCATGTGATAACCTACTATCAATGACAAGAGTGTTGTCCGACTTGTTCTCAAATGTGTTCACTACACTATTATCTATCACATACTTACTGCTATGAAAAAAATTAAGTATTTATAGCTCGTGCGTGGATATTTTAATTGTTTATTAAGGGACAAAAAAAGCGTTAACTATATTAATCGTAATCTCACCTAAAAAAAAAACAATATCAATTCTCACCTAAAAAATTTATAAAAAAAAAAACAATTCTCACGTAAAAAAAAATAATTCTCACCTAAAAAAAAAACAAGAACAACAATTCTCATTAAATTATCCATACAAATTATCCCATAAGCCTATCAATTATCCATACAAACAAAATCCATCCAAATTCATTAAATTAACCTCTATCAATTCTTAAAACAATAACAATCCTAACCTATAAACTCAACAACAACATCTACATTACCATATTACATTCATAATCATCAATCCTAAGCCCCACCAATCTTCCATCTTCAAAACAATATAAATACACAACAAAACAACTAAAAAAACATTGATTTAATGATTAACCTCGTTAAAATAGCGATTCTTGTTGCATTTAGCAATAATGTGCATCCAAAAGCCTGAAGAACTCCGACCACAACCTTCTCTTGAAAACCCCGATATGAAGGGAAGCTGCAACTTTTTCTTTTTATATCACGTATCTTTCGGATTTGGCAAATCCGAGAGTCACTATTCATGTAGGGCTTTCGGATTTGGCAAATCTAAATATCCGTATCCTTATCCGATCCGATTTAATACATCCAACAACCTTATACACAAGAACTGATTGCCCCTAAACGGAAAGTATTCCCTCGGATTTAGCAAATCTGAGAGGTAACCCTATACCATAAACCCTAAACCCTAGAATTCAAATTTGATAAATCCCAGTTCGCTGTTTCAATTTTTGAATTTGCCCGCCATTTTTGTTGTATTTTTTTAATATTAAATTTTAAGACTTTCGAATTTCGCAAATCCGGGGTCATGTTCACCTTTTGACCATATTTTTTATTTTTTGCAAAATAAAGAAAATAAATTATTTTTTATTATATTTAATTGTTTTAGATTTTGATAAATCCGAAAGACCGTTTAATTAAGCTCTCGAATTTACCGAATTCGGGACAACTACTTACGTCCAAAAAAAAAGTAAAATTTTTTTTGTGCACATCAATTCTTTTAAATTTTGTTGGCCGAACGACCCCATAAAAAAATGCTGTCAATTTATACAAGGCAGCAGCATTTTATTTCAAAGAAAAACATACATAATGTTACATCAAGCATATACTCTCTCCATCTCAAAATAAGAATCCCGTTTGTTGAACTTAAAAGTGCAACAAGCAAGAGGATGGAGGTAGTACTAAGAAGATACACCGAAAACAAAAAAAACAGTGAGTTCTAAAGGCAAATGTGCAGCTATAAAGACAAAGAAATAAGCAATATTTCAACTATGGTTACTCTGAACAGTTCAATCTGGTAATGTTGATTACTTGCTTCATATGTACAAGTATACAAACTGAATACAAAAAACATATGATGGCCTCTATGAAACAACTTACATTTTAGAGACAATATATGCGCGTGTTAATCACATGTAGTACAGTTCTAAATGATGAGGAAACACTTCAAATACAAGGATTTACAGCTGAAGTATACTCCTCACCTCAGCAGCATGCACCACTATCGACATTAATGCATGCAGGAGTCATTGATTAGGCTGCAGGCTTCTGTCCATACTTTTATTCGAGCACACAGTTTTTGAAAAAATCACTGCAACAAAGTACAAGAAACCACATTCTGGAGCTGTACTTGTATATGTTTCTCAGCAGCAGATTTGAGCCACCCAGCTTTGGGAATTTATTTCCCACTGTTGACAGGAGATAAATAGTGAAGTACAAGGAAGTACAGGGACAAATCAGATCGTTATGTCCATTCAGGTGAGTAGAGAGAGAGAGCGCAGAAAAACCTATGATGGCATGGAGGCGACAGACTCTCTGCAGCTTTCATACATTGACTCTCTACAACTGTCATAAGCACTAGATGTCTCGAACTGCAATTTATCGTCGGTAATTATCAAGTTACAGTTGCTAAGAACTCTGCAACGCATTTCAGGAGAGAGGTCCTTTAAAAGCTCGGTGACAGCAAACTCATGCTTCTTTCTGAGTTCATCCAACTCCTTTTTTTGTTCAACCAGAAGGTGCTCCAGTTTCTCCACGGTCATTCTCATGTCAGCAGAATTCCTGAAGTAAACTTGGTTTCTCTCATCAAACAGAGTAGGCCCATTGGAGGGATGTGCAGAGCGGCCATTTTGGCCTGATGGAGCATCTTGGGGTCTGGTAACATCATCTTGTCTTGCACTATTCTCAAGTCCAGTCCCATTCTCAATATCCTCGGAACCACTCTGATACTTGTCACTATCAGATGAGGGTTCATTTTCTTCAGTCCAGCAGTCTCTAGGAGTTGCTGACTCCGAATGTGACAAATTTGAAAGCCCCACAAGGGGAGAGCTCCCACCAAATGTTCTAGGCGAATCAGACCAATATTTACGACCTGAAGGCAGTCGTTCCAGAACTAGATTGGGAGAACTAGCACAATCATTTGTTAATGGGGAAGCATCATCCCGCGTTTCTAAGGTGCCGCTATCAGAAACTGAAGCATCACCACTGTAACTGCTAGAATGCTCTTGCAGGGGTGCCCAATCTGGAATATATGATCGGATTTCTGCATCGATCATTTCTGCTATTGCTGAGACATCTTGATCAGTTAAGTCCAACTCTTCAACCATTTCACTAGCAACAGCAGCAGCTGTATCCACCTCAATATCAAATGGAAAGTGAATATTCCGTATATGACCTGAACGTTTAAGTTTCCAGAACATTGAATTTCATAATGAATCGTAATTCTTCACAATAATACATGAAAGCAGGACAGTGCGGAGAGGAAAAGGAAGGAACAAATTACCAGTGGAATCCGCAATTCTTAATTTAAGAAATATTGTATTCTGATCTTTCCTTTGACCCTGCACAGTGAAATCTCGACTTCCCTCAGGGATGGGATCCCTGGGAACATCAATCTGATGACTATTTCCATCTGCAAATATTTCCAAAACTTATCAAAAGAAAGATTCTCAATGACACAATTAAGCAAAATAAACAGAGTAAGGCTTCTCAAACCTGGAGCGGAGCGCAAGGATCGACTTATACTTCCAGGATCCTCATCTGACCTAAGGAAAGGGTCCACCAGTAGCTCCTTGGCGGACAACCTTTCAGATACTTTTGCAATACACTTTTCTATAAATTGTTTGACTTCAGGATCCTTTACTTTTGTTAATGATGCTGGCTTGATTCCCTTTGGACAATAAACAATAATAATCCTTAAGTCAGATATCAACCAAAAGAATTGTGATCAGGAAAACTGGATATCTATTTCTTTTAGAATGAGGACAATCATCATGGGCCAGAGAGGAACTAACTGAATAACCATGAAAGGTGCAACAAATGAGTTTCTGTAAGCAAACATGTGTTCCCTAGTTGGGTCTGCTTTTCTTTTGCCATAATAGAGCTGGTGTTTTCTTCCTTCAGATCTTCAAGTTGGGTCCCAACTTGAAGATCTAAAGGAAGAAAACACCAGCTCTATTATGGCAAAAGAAAAGCAGAACCAACTAGGGAACTTACAAAGAACAAAACTAGCACCCAACCTGTCTTCAGAGTGGGCTGCTTATAAGTTGGTTATTTGATCAGATTTCTACTTCAAGATAACTTATACAAGTAAATCTCTTGGTTTCCCAAACACTTAACGCAAAGCCCTTCCAATCATATATGAGCAGGGTAGCTCATGTACCCCAAAACACTCGAATATGGCAAATTGATGCCTACCAAATTTAAATGGACAAATTAAAACCCTACATAAAGGATTTGCATAGAATTAACAATCCATCCTTTGGAAAGAACTGACATCCTACCCGGTAGTTATTCTAAAGCCTTAACAGTCCAACTTTTCACATCACAATCCAGTTCTTGGAATTTGAACTATATTTGCTACATGCTTTGACATGGAGATTTCATCTGTAGATCCATATGAACCTTGCACTCTAGTTATCAATATCTTCCACACTGAAAATGACTCTGGAGAAATATGAAGAAAAACTTAAAAATATGTTCCACACATTGAAGATTTAAGGGGAGGCATCAGCTAAACTGAAACATAGCTTTACAGTTTCCAAAATCATCTTTGGTTTCGCATGAATTCTAATGCCAACACTTAGCCTTCTCTTTTATATGGAAAGTTAATATTATCTTGAGCATACAAGGGCCATATATAATGCACCTAGCTTTAAAACTAAACGGGTTGATTTGCTTATGGGGACGAAAAATGTAGTACTCCAAGAAACACATACAATATTAACAAAACAAAAAAAAAGAAATCAAGCAATCATAAGACTTAAGCAGGCACATTATCTTCCAGAAAGTTCATTCCCGAAATATCTTACTCACTTGATACAGGAGTGGATACACTAATTCTAACACAGCAGAAATCAAAGAATTCTTCCGGGAAAAAAACTTTGGCTAATCATAAGCAAGGAACGCCAAGCAGCAGATTGGGGGAGCTTCCAAATTGAAGTACATTTAGTCAAATTGTAACTTAATACATCAGATGGTAACATCATCACAAACAAATATGGATTCATGATGCGGTTCTTAAGTTCCCACTTCATAATATGACCCTCATGATTGCTAACATTCTTACATTCTGCTCCTTAACGCGGGCCCACTGTATCAGTTTAACCCAAGTTACAACATCTGATGGGAGGAATGGCTTGGTCAAAATATCTTTAACAACTGAGAACACAATGATGTCATGCCTGACTCAACATCAAAAGTGCTAATTCATAGAACTGACGTCCATCAATTTTCTCCCAACTCATGCATGTTTTGGGTTTAACAATCAGGGAGGAAATCAACAAAAAGAAAAACCACAAGGGAGGGAAGAGGCATTTGCCCCAAGCACTGATACTAAAAAGTTTCTATGTGTCTCTTTCCGGATGATAAATTCATTAACACTATCTCACCTAGTAAGATACAGCAGGAGAAAGAAAAGAAAGTACATCAACCCTGAATCCACCTGTCATTTAAAGGCAAATGAGTTGCATGGCCTTCCATTTTCAGCTCATTTAATAACAACGAGCCAACGGTAAATTGGAAAAGCACAACATATTCTACGAATATACCTTACGAATAAACCTCCATACCAACATTTTTAAGTTATTTGCTTGACGCCTAAATGATTTGGCTGAATTTGACAATCAACACTATATTGCTTAACCTAGATGGATGAAGCCATCAATTCCTGTCCTCTACTTCCAATCTCTTCATCTTTCTATTCTTTTCCATTTTTAATTTTTAGTTTCTCCCAAAACAATTGTTCCACACATTGAAAAAATTGTGTTCAATACGAAGTCAAAAGTACAAAAATAAAAAATCGTGTTCGATCGTTCAAATTGTGTTCAAGCTTTACACGAGTAAGTGGCTCGCACATGAGGAGAGACCTACGCCAAGACAACAGGCACTTATAAAGAAAACATGAACTATGATGGATATACTGCAAATCTAAGCTATTCACAATAGGACACTTGCCGAAATATGTTAGTCCAGCAGTGTCCACATAAGAGAAGCATCTAGCTGGTTTTGTGCTCCAAATAAGAGAAGCATCTAACTGGTAGTAGGTTTTGAAAGTCGAATGTTATTTATCAGCCTAATAGACAGTTCTCACCGCACACCAGCAGATTGTAGCTCAGAACCCCCAAAACACCGCAAAATGCCAATGAAAATTCTTTATTTTCGTCATATTATGCAATTTTAGAAACATAACAAGGAAGAACATCCAAGAAAATTCTTAGTTATGAACAATCAAGTTTCATCTGCATAAAACATACACATCAATCAACTCCAAGAGATACACACAAGGAAGAATAAAGCGTTTATCAGACATCAAGCTAAGGAGAATAAAATAGAAAATAGATTGTATTAAACACAACCTCCTAGACCCTTAAAAAATAACGTAAGCATTTCCCGGTGACCCCCATATTTTATTTTTCTTATCCTCTTTTGTGATCAGAGGGATATCGAATCACTGTCCTAAGAAGTTATTACATTGTAAGCATCTAACTTGGTTTCAGAAAAAAATAAAATTTACTTTATGGAATTCTTCGAAGTACAAAGCAACCCATGTCAATGGGAAATGCCTGACAGGAGGTGGAGAAGTAATTTTTTTTAGGATGTATTATACTCCAATTTTTCTGATACAGGGAATGCAAAATACAAACATAAACATCTGAACATGTTTCAAGACACAGCTTTGAAAATGAAAATGACTGGAAAGAAACTACAAGTTATTCCACCTATATTTACATATAACAGCTAATATGTATGCTCAAAAAAAGGATGGAAAAGGGGTGAGACAATCAACATCACAAGGGTCAACAAACAGAAAATTGATTCTGGTGCAAGAATTACAGTTAGTAGCACCTTAAATGCATTCATATGTGTTAGCCGTCAGTTTGTTTGACACGTCCAGGTCAAATTAGTACTGGTAATGTTCAAATTCAAGCAACATAAGGGAAAAGGGTTTTGATATATTCAATATCTATTCAAGCAAAAGGATAACAAGTAAAAAGAATACAGCATCCATCCACTTTGTGCCAACAAATTGCAAGTTACCTTAAGAGGACATTCACTTTAAAGCAGGTCAAAGAAAGGGAAAATATATATATATATATATATATATATATATATATATTAACAGTCAAGTTGAACACATTTGAAAAAAAGGATTAGTAGGCCAGATCAGCTTTCATGCATCAGCTTTAGAAGAGTACAAAAATGTTTCTTTTCTCCTGTGTCTACCTCCCCATACGTGAACAACAATGTATCCATGCAAGTACTCTATATTCCTAACCCTGAATGATAAACTAAAATGAATTTTGTAATACGCTTCTGATTGCAAGTGACTAAATAGCTTCAAATAGAATATATCTATGCATCATAACATACACATAAACAACAGCATGTTTTGTCCACAGAAACAAATTTGAAAAAATCATCAAAATATTTCTTAAATGATAGCGGTAGGAAAGCCAGGAAAGGCTTACTGATGTGACTTTCTTAAATATCTGAGCAGCATTAGCACATTCAACATATGGATACTCGAACGTCACCAGCTCTAACAAGCACATGCCAAAGGCATAAATATCGACAAGTTCATTATATTCTTCTTCATAGAGCTCAGGTGCCATGAATTCAGGAGTGCCTGATTAGAGCAGAAAAATACACAAACACTAAGCACCATAGAAAATCCATATTCACATAAGTAATACACGAACATTTTAAATCGGAACTGACCAATGACACTATGGGCAGACCGCGCCTGACGTAAGATTGCAGCAAGTCCCAAGTCACCAATTTTTACCTCTCCTTGATTGCCATTGACAAATATATTGTCACACTTCAAATCCCGGTGGATAACAGGAGGATCGTGACTATGAAGGTATAAAAGGCCCTCCAATATCTGCTTTGACCACTTCTTCAATGCTCGCAAGTCAACATTTTTATGCTTTTTCCGGTACCTTCATGTCAAATTAGAACCAAGCATACCATGAGATATTATTCTTCTATAGATTAAGCTTTATAAACACCGAAAGATTAGTTGTAACATACTGTCTTAGCGTCCCAGATGTGAAGATCTCAGTAATGAAGTTAATGTTCTCGTGCTTAGAATCAATCCACGAGTTGTAAAACTTAATAATGTTCTTGTGCTTAAGGGTTTGCAGCAAATGAACTTCTGAGTACAGACGCTCCATGTCATCAGAATTTCTTAGAAGATCAGACACTTTTACCTGATTCCATGCCACTTCAATCCCTTCCAATTCATCAAATGCTCTATATCTAAAACCCATCATTCAAATTTTTTACACAGACAAAAAATCTTTATCAAAATGGAATTCCATAAATAAAATTGTTCAGGAAAATGTGAGTGTTAATGGTACAAACAGTTATATGAAGATACAGAATGAGAAAAAGCATACACTTTCTTGAAAGCTCCTTTTCCCAACACTTCTTTGTACTGCCAAATGCAACCAAACAAACCCAAATTAACACACTTCAAATTTTTTTGAAACACAGGACAAAAGTATTAACTAAAAGGAAACGAATTATCAAGCTAAAACGCATCAACTACTTTCCTACTCCAAGGATTCTACCATCAGAAAGTAAGTAAAAAGATCGTAATTTCGTCATATAATAAGCAGTTATTGTGCATGGAAATTAAAATTAAAAAAAAAAATAATTACCCGCCCATATCGACCAGAAGGATCAACCTCGACAAATTCGGGCTCAACATCGGAATCATCCTTTTCCTGCTCAGATGATGGAGATTCCTGTGCCATCCTCCTCTCTCAATGGGAATGCAGCAAAATTCAAATTAATTTCCACCAGAATCAAATTAACAGATATCTAATTCAAAACCCTCTTCTCGGACCGGATCAAACAGCAAAATTGCAACTGGGCAATTCCAACCGTGAATTCGGCTATTGGGCAGAGGAAAGAAAACTCCAAATCCTTCTTACTGAAAAAGTTTGTGTGATTAAATTGAACTTTCTAAGATATGTTTGAAAGATCTGGTAAGTGCTGTGTGTTTGTTGAAAAATATGTTTTCATCAGATAGACAAAAATAAAGCGGAACGAGGAAACGTGTAATAGAAGTGATGGAAACGGATCACGCCTTCCTGAAAATTGGATTATACTCTATACTCTTTTTGGAGTTTTGACTCTACAAGAAAACACAAAAGAAAACACAAATAATAATAATAATAATAAACACAAAACTCAAATTTACTAACTACTAGGATGAACTCGATTTTTTTCAGTATGTATGTTTTTATTTTTATTTTTTGGTACGCCAAAGATGAATTCGTAAAAAGTAATAAATAATTATTTGTTAACACCTATAGTAAGAGCTAAATTCGATTGTTACGTTTTCTGAAAATCAGAAGTCAACTTAGTTTTGGATTCATAATGGTGCATTATCAGATAATCAGAGCAGACATTTCAGATTCCGAGATCATGCCAAATCTATCTATAGTATTATACTAAGAGAGAAACCAGAGAGAGGAAATCAAACTTCTCCCCCCTTTGACACATAGGACAAAATCCTATATGTCATTTCCTTATAGGTTGTCACAAAAAATATTTACAATAATTACACTAACGGTCCTTTAAATTTCCAGTTAATAAATTATTATCAATTCTTAATTAAAGTATATCAATTAATTGTGTGGTAAACTTTCTATTTTACATTCCCTAAAATGAAAAAGAAAACGAAAAATTTTTAAAATCTCAACATTAAATAAGATTATTTGAAAAAGATTATCCGATTGGCTTGAATAATAATATTACATCTTGATTAATCATTAAAAAATAGTAATGATTATTTAAAATTCAAAAATAATAAATACAAAATCATCAATGATTCTTTAATTCAACATTAAAGTTGATTGATTTGAAAAAAATTTCTGATTGGCTTGAAAATGCCATTAATATTGGTTTGATCATTAAACAGTATTAATACTTTTTTGAAATTCAAAAATAATAACTACAAAATAATCAGTGATTCTTTAATTCAACATTAAAACTGATTGATTTGAAAATATTTTCCGACTGGACTGAATAATACCATTACATATTGGTTTGCTCATTAAACAATATTAATATTATTTTGAAATTTGAAATAATTAAAAAAATTATAGATAATATTTTTTAGAGATATATCATCAGTCATAATTGCATACACGAATATCCATTTACTTTATTTTAACAAAATCAAATATAAACGTATGCCTATAATCACTCCAATCGCATTAATCATGTGAATAAAATTATTATGTATATATAAAGTGTGCTTATAAAACTCAACTAGGTTGCAATCCCAGTTTATACCGGAATCTTTTCTTCTTTTTCTTCTCTCATTTTTTTAGGATTTATGTTTTTCTTTTTAATAATCATTATTTTTTTGTGTCAAAAGTTTTTCGCTTCTAACTTTTGGAAATTATGGACAAATATTTTCTGCAGCAAGGATTTTTTGAATGCACATCACGGTGAGTTTCTTTGCCAATCTTAATTAATGATTTCAATGTTTGATGTTTTTCTTTGGGACAACATGGCGAAATATATGTTGATGATTCTCGAAAATAAAATATATTTAACACATAGATTAATATATGGATCTATTTATTTTCTTCTATACATAAGTAGCACATAAAAATTACTTTTAATGTAACATTATTTAACTTATTTTCTTCTAAAAATTACTTTTAATGTAACATAAAAATATATATATACTAGTGATGTCTGGTCGCGCAATGCGCGACCCTGGCCCAATATATCTATACATCTTAGAAATATTTGTATTTGAAAAAAAATATTTTGTATTTGGCTCGATATATTTAGAAACGTTCGAAGAATTTAGAAATATTTTATAAGTGTGGTCATAGAAATATTTGTGTTTGGCAAAAAAAGAAATTATATTTTGCCCGTTACGTTTTAAAAATGTTTGAAGATCTTAGAAATGATTTATAAGTGTTACTTATTAAATATAAATAAACTTGATCAAATATATGTCTTGAAGTAAATGTTAGACAAAATATAAAAGCATCCTAATAAGTTTAAATATTAGCAAGATGATTCATTGATGTTCTCCATTGGTCGTGCCAAATAAATACTTAGTTTTGGAGATTTACAACAGCTTTGTAGTAAGATTCCTCCGAAAGGTATACGCTTAATTGTTGGAACTGTTTCTTGCAAAGGTTTAAAGGTAGTAAAATATCAAAATATAGTTTTAAAACTAGTTAATTTTTTAAACAGGTTAATCACAAATATGAGAATGAAAATTAATGTAAATTTGCAGAGGTTTGAAGTTATAGCAAAAATAATTCACCTCACCATGGCAAATAAAATAATAAAAAAAAAGTAAAAGAGCCCATTAAAAATTGAGAAATTATCTTTTTTCCTGTAGGTAAAAATGATGTATAAAAACACAAATAAACATAGAAACATCATTCCTCCCCTCTCCACCTCAAATTCATAAAAGACTTTCCCATGAATTAGTTAGAAGAAACAACCTGAACTATTTATATGATGAGAAACTCAAAAAAGTCCAAAAACCAAATCCAAAAAAGTATATTCTTGAAAGTCCAAACACAAAAAAAAAAAAACACACTTCATTTGCCAAAACATAATAATAATAATAATAATAATAATAATAATAATAATAATAATAATAATAATAATAATAATAATTGGTCAACTGGGAGTATGAAACAAAATCAAAAAAAAATTGAACAAAGAAAAAACACTCTTCAAAACTGACCATATAAGAAAAAAAAATTAAGACTCCATAATTAATAAAAAAAAACCACTCTAATGGAATGAAACATAAAAAAGAAATTAAAGAAAACCACACTTTGTAACAAAAACCCAATTGATCAATTCAATCCAAATAGAACTAAAATCATACAAAAATTCTAGGGTAACTAACCATATAAGAAATTACATCATATTACCTGGCAACGGCTACGGTAGCTGTAACGGGCGGTCGCATAAAAATAATAATAATAACACTATTCTTGAACGGGAAAAACAAAATATATAAAAAAAGCCAAACAAATGATTTGTGGAAATAAAATCATTTAAATTTTAATACTTATAATGGCATCATCACAACGGCTGAAGCAAGATCAATGAAAAATTTTTAATTTTTTTTTCTTTGTGTTTATATAGAGAGGTAAAGATAATATTTCTTGAAATCGAAATTTTATCTCATTAGGATGTAGTTGATCATCACTAATGAAAAGATTGAACATGCTAATAGGAAATGAGTATATTTCACCACATATTCTCAGTTGATGATTAATGAGGAATTTGTTTTTTTTTTTTTATTGTGAAGAAGGGATTGATTAGGGAGTCGATTGCCGTGGAGATGGGGATGAGGATTTGGGGTTTTTATGAATCCGTGATTTTTATTTTTATTTTTTTGGCGAAAATAGGAGGTGGAGGTGGATTTGGACTGTATTTGTCTTTTAAGTCTAGAAAACTAATGTGTAAATAAAAATTTATTTTAAAAATATGATGTGAAAATGGCACATGGCAAATGGTGGTGCTTTCTTTAAGTGTGGTTTTTGTTTCTAATATAGTAAGATATATATATATATATACATATATATATATACATATATATATATATATATATATATATATATATATATATACAACATCTCCTTTAATATATAGAAGAATTTACTGGTTGTGGGAAGATAGATACACTTCTCAAGTTAATTATCGACGAAAATGATTCATGTTAAATGTAGGGACTAAAATTTTCATTCATTACAAAATGAAGGACAATCAATTTTCCTTCCACAAAATATAGCTCCCTTTTGTTATATATATATATATATAGTACAAAAAGTAGAACTGCAAATGTGTCTTTGAGATGCATAGAGCAATTACGTTTTTATTCCCTATAAAATTATTTGTAAAAATAACGTCTATTTGAAATTAAATTTTCCTTAAAATTATCCCTTATAAGGAGTGGGACTTTAACTAGTAAAACCATGTGTTGCAACTTGCAACCAAGGTCTTAATTGTTCAATAGTATCCGAGTTTAGAAATACTAGTTGGGAATTTTTTTTAAAAAATACTAATAATACCAAAAACAGTTAATATATATTGTTTATAGATAGTTAATGGTGTCATAATTTTTTCTCCTTACTTAATGTTGATGGGATATATTCAATAGTTAGCTTCTTCACTTAGTAAAATCCTAAATAAATTAAATTTTTTATATATGCATTTTTAGTGATAAAATTTATTATATAGACGGAAAAAAAGTAAACTACAGTAGTAATAATAATAAGATTACAGTGTTGTTAAATATTGGAAAGGGAAGTTTCTTTATAAAACTAGGACGTACTTGTAAAAACATGTTTTGCATCTTTCACACATGCTTAATTTGTAAGGGGAAACCTTCATCTACTATATTTTAGTCAATATGTATACACTTTTTTCAAGACGGAAAGAGTATTTAATATATTTATCCTTCTCATAAAAATAACTATAATGGCATCATCGAAGTGTTTAACATGATTGATGTGTAAGATCCAAGATCATGCAAGTAAATGAAAAACATGATTATCTTACACTTTGAAATTCTAACTATGAAAGAGCTCTGTTCAATTTTTACTTTGATCTTTTAAGTTACTTTCTCGCTTGCCCACTCTAAAATAAGGTTTTGCCCATTCATAAGAAAAAGAACTCAAATCAACGGCTAACTGATGAGCGTCATAAATTTATACTTTTACATATATTTTTTCCCGTTTAACCACACGCTTTGTGAGCTTAAAATGGTTGAGGGTGACATACTTTCTCATGTGATAGCCAATTGGTGCATTCTCATGGAGCAAATATAAGGCAAATTAAATATAAAAAAAATGAAATAAATAAAATTTAGAATTTCCCTTTTGCCACCTGAGTTTGTGACCGGAAAACCTCATTGAAATTGGTGCTCATGCGTACTTAGAAGATGGTGACTAGGTTTTCATTTTCTAATTTCCAATAGGGGTGTTAAAAAAAAAAAAACTGACTTCTTTTATCCGACCCGAAAACTAATATAAAATCTCAATCAAATGGTTTTTTACTGGTTTATTTGGTCTGGTTTTTTGTTTTGTTAATATCTTTCTCGGTTAAACAGAATAACTGATTATAGAAAAACTAATAAATCTCATAAATTTTTATGTCTCATGTATCATTGATCTTTCTCATTTTGTCAAATTATTTTCCTAAAAGATTTTGTTGTAATAAAATACTTTTAGTTTGGATAGACTCTTATAAAAAAGAATGGGTTTGATTATTTTTAATGTGGATTGATAGTTTAAAAAAAATCCTTATTTGGTGTGCCTAAAAATGTGAAATGCATTATATAAATTAGAAAAATAAAATTTAAAAATTAGGCTAAACCTTGATTGTTTTTTGTCTGAAAAATATGACAAATAGTTTTAATTAAACTGATAGAAATCTATAATTAAACTGAAAGCTAAAAAACCAAAATCGTAAAACCGATTGCTTGATTGGTTTAATCCAAATTGACAAAACCGAAATTTACCGAAATTGATGAACCGGAAAATCGATTAAACAGTCGGTGGAACACCCCTAATTCCAAAGTTGCTTTCCACCATTGTTTGGAAAGTTTATCATTTTTTTTTTCCAGTGATAGTAATAATACAATAATCATCCGGTTCCAGAAAATAATCGGTTTTGAAAATGTATAATAATTTATTATCCATAAAATTCTTAGTTGGGTACCTATTGAGTTTGTTTCGAACTCAAAACTTAGTTTTATCTCTAGTTTACTTATGAGAGGATATCTTAATCATTTTAATTTTATGATTGGACTATTTTTTGAGACGAAATTTTTTATGAAATTGTACTATTTTTTATGGACAGAGGAAATAATATTTTCGTAATTAACCATTTCAGTTACAGATTTTTTTTAATATATGGGTCAATTAGCATTTCAACGTCTATTTATGTCATTCCAAATTAAACTAAGAATTCTTTTTTCTTTCCTGAATTGATCCTAATCAGTCTTTATAAATACGAGACCACGATCTCCTTTATCATATATTCATATATTCAGGAAAAAAAAAATGGCTTCCTCTTCTAGTATTAGTCACACAAATACTCTCCTAGTCATTCTCTTTGCTTGTTTAACATTTGATTTGTTGATGACCAGTTCATCATCAAAATCTTTCTTAGCATATGCAGACTCAATTGACGACATTTGCTCTGAAACCGATGATCCCAAATTTTGTCAAATAGCTTTACGGTCCGATCCTCGTTCGATAAATGCAGATCAACCTACATTGTTAAATATCACAATAAATTTAGCACAATCCAATACCAAGTACACCGTAAGGTTAGTAAACACTCTTGATGGAAAAACAGGTGATCCTAAACTTAAAGAGGTATATAAGTCGTGTTTGTTTGCTTATAACCGCATTAGTAAGACCCTTGTTGATTGCCTTAGCCCATTTAACAATAAAGATTATGCAAAGGTTTTTGACGATGCTGCTTTTGCCCGTGACGATTCGTTCGTGGCTCTGTGAAGAAGCATTTGGGGATGTTTGATTACCAGAGCCTGACAACCTCAAACTGTCAAGCCAGCATGTTGTAGTTTTAATTGAAGTTATCGGAGAGATCTCCTATCACTTACAATAGGTTGAATGTAATATTTATTACTTACGTCTTACTAGCTGCTAAGTAATAAATTGTTTTGTTTAGTTTTGAGTTTCTCATCTTGTTGCTGAATTGTATTCCCTAATTAGTCCCAAAAAAAAAACTATTATTTATTTTAATTAAAAAGAGATAGATTATTTTTCTAAGGGTCTGTTTGATAATCACTGAAGTCTGAATCTGAACACTTAACACTTAACAATGAAGTCTGAAGTCTGAAAACTGAATTTACATTGTTTGATAAAAACGTCTAAATATGAAGTCTGAAGACTGAATCTGAATACTCATGTCTGAAAGTTATTTAAAATTTTATATCATTAAAATTGACTTATAAACAAAATTCTTTTAAATAGAAAAATAAATAATATTTTGTTCTAAATAATAAAATAATAATTTTGAAACAAGTTTTTATATATATAATGAAAGTAGATGTTACACTTGGTAAATAATCAATATATAATTAAATTTAGATTATTACATATATATATATATATATATATACCTTGTTATTTAGCAAATTTCATGTATTAAAATTAGTTTAATTTGAGTTTGAAAGTTTGAGATCTTTTATACACATAATATAAATTCAACTTTAAGCACTCTTAATTAATTTATCTTAAGAAAATAAAAATTTTAAAAACAATGTAAAAATAAGCGACAAAATAAAGACGAGGGGAAAAAAAGGAAAAAAAAAAAAGAAAAAAAGAAAAAAAAAAGAGTTACACAGAAATTAAGTGATAAGTGATAAGTGATAGGCTCATCACCCATTTTCTAGCTTACAATTGAACTGGCAATTCAGACGCACTTAATTAATTCAGACAGTGAAATTTTAGTTATCAAATATACTTAATTTATAAGTACTTAATTAGTTCAGAACTTAATTTATTAAGACTTTTTAGTAGCAATTATCAAACATACTTAATTTTATTAATTACTTAAATAAATTAAGTCACTATATTAAGTGATTATCAAATAGAGCCTAAGATTGGAGTTGCAATTTTTGAAGATTCCATTTTATTTGATCTTGTGCGTAGTAGCTATTAGACATTAGTTTTTATTTTTCCATTATTTATCATGACTAGCTAGCTTTGGGTTGGACACAATGTTCACATGCACATCATCAACACTTTTTATAACTAAGATTGAAAGACAAATTAATAAAAAAAGAATAAATGTACGTACTATTAATCAATGAAACGGCAAATTAAAAATTATACAACAATATCCTTTCAAATTCATTTTGTATTGATGCAATGTTTGTATGAGTTGTATATTTTCTACAAAAAGAACTTATGAAAATCATTATTTTGGTGTAATAAGAGAAGACGGTGGTCGGTGCCCATGTGTTGGAAAAATTTTGAATGCAATATTTTTTTGGTAACCTCACCAGCGATTTTGAATGCAGTATTTGTAAGAATACATACTAGATGCTTGTCCTGGGCGAATGTCCGGGGTGTCGCTTGTATTTTTAAATTAATTAAATAAAAAATACGAATCATTCTTAAAAGAATAAAAAAAAATTAGAAGAATAAAAAATCGATTAAAAGGACAAAAAGTGAGCTGTTATACATAAATCTATGCACAGATTTACAACATTTAATTTATAACAGTTTACTCATACCTGGGTTTACATAAATCATAAACCAATATCTACAACAGAAAAATAAAAAAATCATCCTTTAAAAATCAAATTTCTTTCATGACAACTTATTTTTTTCTCTGTTGTAGAAAAAGATGGATTGATAATTGATGTCAGATTTTAAGTAATTGATTTAAAGGCTCGGGTGTGAGAGAGGAGCAGAATGGAAGAGATTCTTTGAAATTGAGGATTGGGAAGACATTACTAGTGTTTCACTTGATTTAATGGAATTTCCTAGTATTTGATTTTATCAACTAAATATTGTTGTTTTAAAGGATTAGTATATACATATAATTAAGATATTTTTATGTAGCTATAATTAAGGGATTTATATATTTATCTATTCTATCTTTTTTTTATGATTAGTTAGAGTGCCACGTGTCAAAAATGATTTTGTACTGAAAATGGCTTTTGGTGGAAAAATTTTCATTACGATCCTGACATATGTTTTTTTTGCTTGCTGCTTTAATTAAGTACTATAGATTGGTTTTTTTTTTTTTTTTTTGGGAGCCAACGAATGAGGAATATATTAGTTTTTCTTTGGCCATCTTGTATGTTTGTCTCTCCCCCATAAAGTTAGGGCCGTTCTCCAAATATACAGTATTTATTTTTCTTTTATTTTCTTAAATATTTATAAGTTGTGCATTATCTATAAATTAATATAAAAATCACACTTGATCAATTAATTTCTTGCAACTTGATTGGCCGAACAGTCGTCATGTGACATAAGGTTTACATCACCTTTCTTAATTAAGGACAAGACAGTAATTAAAAAATTGAAACTTCTGGCAAAACCCCCCCTTTTCGAAAACGACGTCGGTTTTGCTCCAAGCCCCCTATATAAACTAAACAATAACGGGTTCGAAAGTCCGGTTTCCAGCCGCTGGTTCTCTCTTTCTGTTTCCTTTCCTCTCTTCCGTCGACCTCCATAAACGACGAAACCAAACTTCACGAATTCTTCGAATGTCTGTTCAGTTGTCGGAATAAAATCCTCCCTTCAATGGAAAAAGATCTTCTGGGGATCAACGATTTTACCAGCGAGGCAGCAGCATCTTCTAGGGGATGGGCTGTCCGTAGTTGCATCACCGAATCCCAAGCGTGCCGAGAATGTAGGAATCGATGTTGCGAAGAAAGCTAAAAAGCTTCGGCGGTGAAAGCTGCGTTAGAAGCCACTTTTAAGAACGTAGACTCTTTCAACACGAGTGCAGCTCTGACCGCCGATTCGGACGATGATGAGGGTGAAGATGATGAGGAAAGGGAGCGAAGAAGGCTGACGCAGAAGCTGATTGGACCGGTGGATCCCAGTAAGTGCACGGCAGCCTACCATGGCATGCTCCTTCCCTGTCTTCTTAAGCACAGGTACTTTAAAATTATCCTACCTAAGATTGATGTTTTATTTTTAGTTTATCTTCTTCTTACAAGAGGCATGTTTTTGTACACTGCTGCTGGTTTTGTTTTTTTTTTTTCCCCCCACTTCTATGTCTGCTATTGTATGTGTGTGTAAATTTTGTAAGTGAAATAGTTCTGCTTGACGGATAATAGGATTCTTGTTCACGAGATTCTGTGAACTGTAATTTAGCTTGTTTAATTGGCTTTTAGTTTGAAATTTTGTGTTTTCCTTTTCTGTTTCTTCGCTCTTAATTGAATATCACTTATCATTAGATGAATCGATGGCGGAGCCAACAATGACTACAAGGATTAGCTTGGTTCTATTAAGAAGTGAAAAAAGAGTAATCTTTTTTATGGTGCGTCTTCTGCTTTTTCTTATTTTAAAAATCAATCATGTTCTTCTGATTTTGGTAAATGGATGTAAGAGTGAATCTCCAGCAGCAATAGCTAATCGATGGGTTTCTTTTCTTCCTGTTTCAGTGGTTGATTCATCATTTTTGTTTTTGTTTTGGTTTACTTTCCTAGCCGCCTTTTCTGCCTAATTTTTGTTTAACTCCCCTTTAGGTTCCCATTTGAATATGAATCTTTGTATGTGGATCCCTTGATTCTTATTCTTAGTTAATTAAAATTGTTCATGGGTTCTTTAGATCTGTCGTGTTTTGGCTCTCTTGATTCAGTTATCGACTTTAGTTCTTGCGTTCTGTTGGTTTTGCTGGAATTGAAGGTGGAAGGAGAATATTTTAATATCAATGTTGGTGGCAAGGACACAGTTTCAATTCTTTCAACTTCATGCGCTCAAAAAGGATATAGTTGGTGAATGACAATAAAAGTTAGTATTTACCTTTCTTTTAAATGTTGTCTAACTTTTTTTTGTTTCAGTAAAGATTGTCTTTTGTAGCTAATTTGGAACACATCTTTATGTTTTGTTTTTTATAAAATTGATGAAACATTATTTGTATGGCTCTTGGTAGTGGCTAAACATCACGACCAGAAGCAAACTCCAATACGAACCTGAAGAAATTCAAACCGAAGAGATTCTTCAACGTCTAAACTTGCACGCCTACTCATGGAAAGGTTGGAAAATTGTTGAATAGAGATGTTTCTTCTTTCCAAGAATGAAATACAACTTTGCAGGCGTAATTTTAAGCTATGGGTTTTCTTCTGTTTCATGGTATTATAACAATTAATTCCTTGTTTTGCTCTTCTAATTGTGTAAATTGAGTGTTAATCAAGATTTAACTATATTGATTCATTTTCATCTTCTCTATCAGTGATGGCTAACTGATGGCTTCTTTTCCTACTGCCCCCAGCTACTATGGTGTCACCTCTGCTCGATTGGACTTTAGTTTGCCTCCCTCTGCTTCTATGGTAGGTTCATCATTTTTTTGGTTTATTTTTATGCCTTTTTTTAGCCGTTTTATGGGTTCCCTCGACAAGCTTCGTTAAAACCGCAGTATGCTCACCCCCCTCCCCCCCCTTTTTCAATTTCGTAATTTCCTGATGGAAGTGTTGTTTTTGTTTGCATCGTGAAGTTGTAATCTAATTTAATTTTAAATTTTATGTATTTTTTTTTTCCGATTGTTTACCTTAGCTCTTTTGATATATCACCGGAATGTGAAAAATAATGATTATGGTATTTTTTTTTAATGTTAATGCATCGGATTCTTATTTCCCTGATTTTCTTCTCTAAATTTACTCCATTCAAGAACTATTTTGTTTATTTCGATTTTATTTTTGCCAAAACTCGATTATTTCGGAGGAAGTTAAGGTTCTTTTGTTTTTACATGGAAAGAAAAGTTTCTGAAAGAGTTTGTTTTGCTATTTGATTGCACTAAAAGAGTTTCTGAAATTTCCTACTGGAAGCATTTATTTTTCTTTTTGTTTTTTTTTTTGTGTTTAAAATTTCGCTTTTATTCGACCCGTGTGTTTTCAGTCCTGTGTGTTATCCGTTTTGGCACTGCACAAGATAGTTGAACGGTCTGTTTGAATCTTATTTGCGATTGCTTTAGTTTTGTTTAGAAATTAAAAATATCCCTAGATGATTTTTTTTCCTTTTACCACTGCACAAGGTGGTTGATTGAAGTGAAACGGTTCTGAAAATCAAGCTTGTAACTGTAGATTCTGAATTTCAGTTAGCTTTTTTCTTGGTATTTGGATGGTGAATGGCCAAAGTAAATGGATGTCTTAGTTTTGAGCTCAGGCTTTTTCATTGGGGTTGCTCTGGAATAATAAGCTTTGGTACGAGGGATAGTGTAAGGTAAACAGTCTTGCAGAAGCATTTTCTGATCGTTACATTGTTTGGGAAAAAATTCAGAGTTTCCATCTAGCTGAAGCAAATTTCCATACAAATACGAATCTGTGCTCTGGTTATTATGCCGTAAAGAGGCTCATAAATCTTTTCACTTGACAATAAACCGCAATTCCCAAAATTTTTGTCTGTTGCTTGGAGTTTTTACTTATAGAGAACACAATTCCCAAAACTTTTGTCTTTGGCTGTCATGTTTGGTCTGCATTTCTCCTTGGCCATCTTTGGACTCGCCGATTTTGATTCAGAAAATGTATTTGAGTCGAAGCACAATTCAATTTAGGAATGAAGATGAAAGTAGGGCCGTCCATTATGCATTTGAACCATGGAAGAAAGACGTGATATCTGAAGGTTAGTCTTCTTTTTATATGTGGATTAGCAAAGTGTCTTTATCTCTTATAAATTTTGGCATGCACACCTGTTACTTTTTCTTTTGGAACTCTTATGTTTGCAAAGATGATCTATTTGAACTCTGTTATGGATTAAAACTATAGAGAAATCTGTGAAAGTAGCTTTTCTTTGGTTTCGTTTGAATAAATGGGTGCTACAGGCTGAATTGATAATGGATTGTTAAGTTGCATTAAATACCCATACGGTACTGATTTGTCTTTTCTCTCCAGGATCATATTTGCCCAATGGAACCGTAACAAGTTCGAAAAGCAAATTTGATAGCAAGATAGAAGCATCTTCAGCTAAAATGTACTTCTATTACTATGGACAAATACTACATCAACAAAATATGTTGCAGGATTATGTTAGAACAGGTTACCTTCCATCTGAAAATTGATGTTCCTTCCACTACTGTGATGATAATTGAGTTTTTCACAAAGGGATTCTTTTAGTTTACGTTGTATTCCTGAGCTAGATTTTAGTACTCGATTAAGGTGAGACAGCCTTTACCATTTTTGCAGTTGTTCTTTTATTGCTTTGGTTTTATCGAGTAAACAATGGAATGTTGCTTCTACGAGGTGAACTTTAAAGAGCAATGCTTACTTTTTCCCATGCTTTCTTCAAAACTTGATCCTCATATTCCCAAGAGTTAAGCCTCAATTCTGAAATGTTTGTCGAGGGATCAATCTGATTGCATCTGAAACTTGTTGTCAAGGGTGTTCTGTGATGTGCATATAATTACAAGGGATAAAGTTCCGTTCTTTCTTTTTACTTCTTGAGGCACTAACATCATCCTATGCATATTTCAGGAACCTATTATGCCTCAACAAATGAGAACCGTGCTGATTTTATAGGACTAAGTAGTTGTTGATGTGGGTGCTGGCAGTGGCATTTTGTCCTTGTTTCCTGGCCAGGTATACCTACAAATGTGAGCTGGCCTTGGAAAATGTCCTTTTTGCTATGCAGCCTTCTTTTTTTTTTTTTTTTGGTTCAACTTTTCTCTCCCTCGTCTTGATTTCTTTTTTTGCCAACTCTGTGTCTGTCCCTTTCTCAGGCTGAGGCTATGCGTCTATGCTGTAGAAGCATCTGAAATGGCCCATTATGCCCGTAAAGGCGTAAACTGATTGCTGGATATCCATCACTTTAGTGAAGGAATTATAGTTTAGTGTCTATTTTTGAGAAAATTGTTACTCGTGATTCTTATTGTTGGTTTGTTCTTCCATTTTACATGAAGGGCTAACATTTCCTCTGTATTTTGGCATTTAATCAATTCAAGTTCATGTAACTCTTGCTCCTGTATTCTTCTTTACAATATGTACTCTAAATATGGCGCGTGTGAGGACAACAACGAAAGAAAACACCTAAAGAAATTTCCCGAATGCAGTTCAATTGAACTTAAGGAAATGGCACGAGTTCTGGGTGGACAATCTATCACTTCATTGTATTGAAGAGATATATTCAACATTGTATTGATTAGCCACTGTTCCTGTGTGTGTTTTTGAAGTACTGAACAAGTTAGATTCCGATTTGAAAGGGAAAAGATACTTTACAAGGCTCATGGAACGGAATCTCCAACAATGGAGTATAACCAGCTCCAATCCAGAAAGTTAGGAGTTGTTTCTCAAGGACGAATCATGCAAGCACAATACAATATATTTTCTTACATTGTTTAGATTTCCTTAGTTATTAATTTTGCTTGTCGATTCTCAAGTTTCTATCACTTCATTATTATTCCAACCGAAGTTTGATGTGGTTCCTAAAGAATATGCTTATAATAAGTTTGGAAATATAGCTGCATCTATATATATATATATAAATATTTTGATATTAGGGTCAAACTTACATGAAACTTTGAATTGATATTTTGATATTAGAGCAGAAGTGATTGAGAGATACAAGAGTAATTAGATCTGGTAGTTGAGTGGTATTTTACTATATAGATTTGAAATGGTACAAGTTTTTGTGATTCGTCATCGATGAGGTAAGTAAAGTTAACGAAGTTTAACATTTTTATATTTTGTACTACACTGTATGGTGAAATTTAGCTCTAAACTTATTATTGAATGGTATTCTCTGAATTCTTATAAAGATATTGCTTAAGGTATTATTATGCTGAAATTGAATATATTTGATTAAAAAAAACCTTACATGAAAAAAAAGAAAAGAAAAGAAAAGAAAGAGCATATGCTCACCCTTCTTCTCCCCTAACTTCTTTGCTTCAATTATATCTTTTAATGTGGTTTCTTCTGAAGATTTTCTTTGAATTATCTCTCAATTGCTCTCCCTATTATTCTCTTAGTTAAATAATACTACCTCCAACCTGAAAAAATAGTCCACATTGAGTTTTCAAATTTGTACTAAAAACAGTGCAAAACTCAAAACCCAATGTGGACTATTTTTCTGTGACGGAGTGAGTACTAGATGTTTTTCTTTTTTTGAGAAAGGAAAATTTTCTTAAATTTGTTGAGAATCGCCCAACTATGATTGACAAAAAGGGATGGAATATTCCACTTTTCAAGCATAGAGGAATTGTTTTAAGCATAAAAAGCTACTCATGAGTAACTGTGTTCGCTGTTCTTCGACTCCAAAATACACCAAGACAAGTCGTAGATGCCAATCACCGCCGTGTGTCTCTAGCACATGTAAGCATACGTCCGGACAAGAATAATCCTCATATAAAGCAAGGATATACGGATTTTATTTATATATATTTATGATAAATTATTAATATAAATATTATATATGTTAAAAACAAATGAAGTTATTGATGATTTGTTATAACAAATGCTGTACGAGTAAAAGAAAATTATAACAAATGAAGATTATTAAAAAAAAGGAATAAAAAACGTGAAAATTAATAATTAAATAATTCAATCGAGTTGAAAAAAATTAAATAACCTTGAAGAAACAACCTGTCTTAGCTAATTATTTTAATTTTTCTTTTTTGTTTAAAATGGTAAAATTTTAATTTTAATGTTTACTTTAACTCGAATTTTTCTTCTTCATTTCTTAAATTCTTTTTTAAAAATTTTATAATCTAGAAGTTAAAATACAAAAGAAAAATAAATTTTTAAAATTTAGAATTATAATACAGTATATACAAGATAGAAAACATAAGAAGAAGAGTTGTAAAGAAAAAAAAATTTAAAAGATTAAAAAATAAAAAAATAAAGAAATGACAAAAATACCCTGAACCCAGAAATATGTGAAAAATGGATTTCCATCACTATTTAACGGTCAAAATTAACAGAATAATCTGAAATAGATTAAAACTTTAGTAAGGTAACCTGTGTTACAAATAAATTTAATTGATGACCTAGAGTGGAAATATATTAAAGGTTGATGACTTGTTTTGAGGTACACTCAACCCGTGGGCCCCATTTGAAAGTTTTTACCCGTGGTTTATTCTGTTTTTATCATGTGGGGCCACATGATTATTTTTTTCTTTACCCTTATTCAGTATATTTTTTTTTCCTCTTCCCGTTGAATCACTTTGTCATTCCCCTCCTGGTCACCGGAGAAAAATCCTAATTCTCAAGTTGAGATTGAATTCCTAAATCGTAAACCGTCAGTCCACGACGTTATAAGCGCACATGGAAGCCTGCATCTACATGTAGGGGTATGATGTTCGAATTGAGATTGAATTCCTGTGGATTGTTGTTGCGTTTTCGCCGACTATGCCGCCCAATTTGAGAATTAGGATTAATGTCGAATGTGGGTTTTTCTACAATGACCAAGAGGGGGATGAGAAAGTGATTCAACGGGAAGAGAAGAAAAAAAATACTGAATAAGGGTAAAGAAAGAATATCATGTGGGTCCCACATGATAAAAACAAAATAACTCACAGGTATAAAATTTTGAATGGGGTCCACGTGTATTTGATTTTTTTTAAAATTTTTAAATTTTTAAATTTTTTAATAATATTATATTTGGATTTTTGTTTTTAAATAATAGATTATAAATTAATATAATATGTTTGGTATTATTTTAATATATTTTTAGTTTTTAATATATTTAAAAAATATGAGATAAGTTATCAAAAATGCCCCTGTTGACTTGATCAAGATTTGGTCAGCCCAGGGTCAAAAAAATTTAAAAAGGATCAAATTAGTTGAAAAGACAAATATAATGGACCAAATGAGTGAGTTTTTAATATAAAGGACGAAATTAAATTTTCTACCAAATGTAAAGGACTATTTCGGCAATTTACTCTTTTTAGTTGTCTTTGTATAATAAATTTTCTTTTTGTTTTGTTTTAACAGCTCTTTTTAAAAGCAATATATTAAACTTTACTAGTTGAAATCTCGTGGTTGTGCGGCACAGATTATGTTAGATGTGGGACATGTAAAATTTTAAAATTAACTTTCTTGTGTTGATGCAGTATTATGAGCTGTAAACTTCTATTATTTGTTTTAGAATTACGATCGTGTCTATCTTCAATTCTATCTAGGAGAATTGTTGTTTTAGCCACATTTTTGGATGAATCATTATCATACATCTTTGATAGCGTCCCCTGTATTTTTTTTTTTTTTTTGATGTAAGTTTCCTATCTTAAATATAACATTAATATTTTTTTAGGTGAATCCAAATATAACTGTAATAAATTTTAAAAAGCCAATCATTTTTTCTCCACTTCAAAAATAATTTTTTTAAGCAAGAATTTTTTTCAAAAATATTTTTCTCCAATTTTTTTTAAAGCAAGAATTTAATAAAAGAATTTGATCAAAATTTGAGGATAAGTGAATTTTAAGAGGGGATATGAATCTTAAGAGTGTGCTCAAGATTTATAAAAATAGTTGAGAGAAATTATTAGGAATAATTGTTTTAATTTAATTAGTGGCTGGCTAGTGCGTTGTATGGGTTGTGAAAATTTTTCATTATAATTATTTTAAAGAGTAGATTGGGGGAGAATGTAGGAGTTGAACATGTTAAAACGGTACGCTTAAATTAAATGTCTTTTGGTTATTATTAATAGAATAATCAAATTTTAGTTAACTCGTAGAAAAAGTTAAAAATAATAAATTCAAATGAGGTATAAAAAAGTACTCCCTCTGTCCCAAAATTATTGTCCACTTTGAGTTTTCATTTTTAGTTTAATTTGTACTAAAAATGAAAACCCAAACTGGACAATAATTATGGGACGGAGGGAGTATCATATATGAAGCTATAATATAGATTTCATTAGGGTGTATAGTAGTTATAGTGGAGGGCAGATGATAAGTAAGGTTCACAATAGAAGAATCGTACTTTTTCCAGTTGTATTTACTTTGTAAATTGTCTATATCTATTTCAAATAATCTTTTTTTCTTTGTCAAGTTAGGTTTTTTTTTTCTTGGTTTCTTTTGTCTTCATCCTCTTTACTATCGAATCCTTCACGATTAAATGACATATGTATCTCTAGCGTAAAAGATCCTAGGTAAAAAAAAAGTATTTGTATGAGATATAATTTTATTCCTTTTAGGAAGCTCCAATAAAAAAAAAATTGAAAATGAAGCTGAGTTAATACAATCAAAAATTGCATATTTAATTTGTCCTTAAAAGGAAATTGAAATGTACATTGTGATAGAAGAAATTATATATGTATCAATTTCACTTTTTGTCATGGAAGTTGTGATAGAATAAATTATATATTCCCCTCCATCTATTTTTTTTTTAAAAAAAACAGTTATATTTTTGGAGGAAAGCATTTCATTTCAGAGAGTAATTGTGACTTGTTAAATCTAAATTATATACTTATATTTCATGGTATAGTATTTTTCACTCAAAAGTTTGGAATAATTCTCAGTTATTTACAACTGTCACAAAATAATTATTTTTTTCCTATCTAAATAAATAATTATACTTGTCAAATCAAATTAATAGAACGACTAA